CTGACATGTAGTAGGAATTAAATAAATGGTTATTATTATTAATAATAAAAGATACCTCCAGAATGAGAGAAATTTAAGAATTGTATAATTTCATCCTTTTCAGCAAAAGTAGTTTCCATAATAAGGATGCATGGAAACTTTGCTAAAAGTATATTCAGTGCAGAAGTTTCTAATTGAGAATATTGGACACAACCTAATGTTCATCATGTGGAACAATGGAATGTTATTCAACCTTTAATAATAAAGAATATGTACTGGCGTGAAAAGATGTTCACAATATAGGAGGGAAAAGCATTTTATACATAAAATCATTATGTATACCATTATTTCATTTTTGAAAAAAAGTAGGTTAGAAAAGGTTTAAAGGACATTTAGCAAGGCAGAAAATAATTACCATCCAGAGATAATCAAAGTATAGATAAATTTTTCTTTTTCTGTTTGTTAAGCTCCAATTTCTAATTTTTATAATGACAATATTTTACTTTCAAAATAAGGGGAGGAAAGGCAATATATTTAAAAATTTACATTAATTTTGGGTTTATTAATTTGGGTTTCCTGGAGGTAAGTCCAATTTGAATGTTCAATTAAAAAATGTTAAAGTATAGGCTTAGATTCACTTTCAAACCCCTTCTTTAGGGGCTGGCCCCGTAGCCCAGTGGTTAAGTTTGCGTGCTCCGCTTCGGTGGCCCAGGGTTTAGCCATTTCGGATCCTGGGTGCGGGCATGGCACTGCTCATCAGGCCATGCTGAGGCGGCATCCCACATGCCATAACTAGAAGGACCCACAACTAGAAAATATACAACTATGTATGGGGGGACTTTGGGGAGAAAAAGAAAAAATTTAAAAATCTTTAAAAAAAAACCCAAAAAGACCTTTCTTTGGTTAGTTAAAAATTTATTCTAATGCAGCTTTCAGGAAAGAGTTTGGTAGTAAAAGAAAAAAGTACTCTAAACCAAGGGAAAGTGGTATTTACCCCCAAGGACCATGAGATCCCTGATCTTTAGGAGTGTTCTCACCCAGCCAAGTATCAACAAGTATATCAACCAAAGAATCTCAGGAATTCCGATTGATTGCTCGTTATTTGCCTCATGAAGTTGGTAAGGAGGATTTAAAAATAATGAATGGGAAACTTGAGGGAAATGCATTTCATGAAATTGTGGGGAGTGACTGTGAATTTCTTTTTCCGTTTGCCCTTAAATGGTAGGTGACTAGGGGTTCATTTATAGCCTGGTGGAGTTTAAGCCTCACCTCCCTGAGAAATGTGATTTGTGCACCTTTTTTCGCTATAACCAGGTGGGGAAGAATTTTGAGGGTTGAAAATGGGATAGTTTCATTTTGAAGGCACTAGAATAATATGAAATGGTGCCATTTCCCCAGTGTATACAATCTGATTATTTCTAGCTGAGCATTTGAAATGGGAAAGACCAAGCCCAGTTTCCAGAACATCCACTTAATTTCTTCATTTGTAATCCTGTATACTCATCTGGAGTTTTCAAAAACGCGTTGTGACAGTGGAAACTGACACAAGAAAACTGGGCTGGGCTTTCTGGCTTTTCCTCATATAGATGATAATTCAGTAATTTAATAACTCAATTCGTAAATGAGCTTTTTGAGAATCTTTGAATATCCAAGCCTAGCCTGGCAGGAAGGAGGCATGAAGTGAGGGAAAAATTAAGTCGTTTAAGAGGCTTTTATCAAAAAGGGTAAATACTGCCTATTTTCTCATTTTTCATTGAGAAAATTTGAACACGAGTAAAATGGGAGGATTACAGAAAACTATCATCTGTATTTATTGAGCTCTACTTCAATCCTTCAAGGGCACTCTTCATTATCTATATTTATTACAGGGGAGGAAACTAAGATTGAAAGAGGTAAAGATCACTAAAACAGAATTAAAACCCAAACTTAGACACTCCCTATTCTCAGGAAATTTATTAGGGATATAAATATGCAAAAAATTTAAGTATTAGGCAAAATATTTAAGTGCCATAAGAGAGGTTATCAAGATTCAGAGAAACGAAAAAACACATCTAGCCAGAAAGCTTGGTAAGAAGTATTTTATACCCACTCTGCAGGATGCTGTGTTAGACATTGAGAATATAAAAATAAGAAATATCCCTGCCCTCAGGGAGTTTATAGTCTAATGTGTTCGGGACACAGAGCTATATACTTTGCCTGGAATATGGGATACTTGGAGCACTATTTTCGAAGCACCAAATGCTGTCAGATAAGTATTTGTGGCCAATCTATTCCTTGTTTGGAATCCATTTCACTTTGAAGATGTAGACCTGAGCCTGGCGGAGAGCCTTGAGACTGCCTTTTGCTATAAATAGCTACAGCTGGAATTAAGAGGGCTTCCTCTGTAGGAACTTCAGATTTCATTCTCAGAACTCCTACCGTGGTTTCCCAGTTTGAAGACTGTCTTGAGAAAGTGCTCTAAACATGAAAACTTCTTTAATGAGAATTTTTTTATTCAGAGGCAAAGGGTCAAAGTGCAAGTTGGTTTAGAACATGGGCTTTGGAGTAAGATGACTTAGATTTGAATCCCAGGTCCTCCATTGTGTGACCTTGAGATAGTTAACGTTTCTTCAGTTACCTCATTGGTGAAATGGAATTAAGAATACTTAAGTCACAGGGCTTTGTAATCGGTAAATGAGATACACGTCTAAAGTAACTTCACATGGTGGCTGGGGTATAAGAAACCGCCTGAAAATGGCTGCTGTGATTATTATCAGTTTTGATAATACCTGATAGAGCCTTCTCTACAAGCAGCACTGTGGCCTTGCTTGAAATACTCTCTCAGTAAATATACGTCTGTACCCCCCAAAATTATAACTTAGAAACCTCCAGGATTAACTTAGGTCCCTTTTATTTGAGTATGCATAAGGACGTTTACTTCACACTATGACGCAGGATCAGAAAACTACAAAGTCATATAAAACCAAAGTACCGTACTTATGTGTATTTCACAGGTTTTTCATCCTGTGTGTTCGAGCACTTGACCTGGATGCCAGCTTGTGTCTCTCTTTCCTCTCATGCTCCCAGCCTTAATTCTCTTCTTGTTTCTTGGCCTCCTGTTTATTCAAAGTCCTGTCTCCCTGCCATCTCTGCCTTTTCTTCTGAGCACTAGCACATACTGTTACCCTCTTCCCCTGTTGCCAGTCTCCTCCCATTATGGAAACAGCTCCTGGAAATACAGCAGAAGCCTGTGGTTGATAAGAAAGTGATAGTATCTCTTGGCCTACGCAGTCTCTCTGTCCTCCACAGAAAGGAAAAACAAACTAAAAATGAGGAACACACTGGATACAGAAAATGGGAAACACAACACAGGAAGTGAAGGGAACTTCCCAGGATGATAGTGAAAGGCAGTCACAGAGTGATGACATGCGCACCAGATGGGAGGACGAGTCCGGACACGGCTCTGAGAGAGACTCTCAGAGGATGAAATTGAAAGAACAGTTGACCCTTCTGAAGGGAGATTTAGACAGTTGACGAAAGGTTTGAGGTTGAATCAAAGAGAAGTACAAAGGGAAGAAATAAGACATGAACTCCAGAAAAAAACAAAAAGTTGTACAGGAAAGGAAAACTAATTATACTTCACTATATGGCTTAGCTTTGGATCGCATTTACATATTCATGATAATGTAAAATTTGATATTGATCTAACCAAGGGTATGACATAATTGGAAGGATGGGTATTTTATGTGGTAGAGGGAGGGAACAGAGAAACCAAAATCCTTTTCCATAGTAAAAAGTCAATAGATAGTGCTCAAAACTGAAAAACCAAGAAGTAACAAAACCAGCATATTATTTAGAAACATGTAGGTGAATATCAAAATAGTCAGCCAAAAGAGCAGTCGCTTTTGAGGAAGGAGAAATTGGAAGAGACGAGAGGGCATTGCTCTCTTTTTGTATAAATCTTGTAGAACTATTTGACTTTTTTAACTTTATGCAACTATAACTGATTAAAAATTAAAACTAAAACAGAAAAAGCACAAATGCATAGCAACAAAGGCTAAAAAAAGAAGCTAGAGGGGAGAGAAATAGGTTACACATTTTATTTATTTATTTATAAAAAATATATGTGACCAGGGAGAAAGTTTGGAAGAATATTTATTTTCACTGGATTGGGTAACTTTTTCCTTTTTTATCTTTTTTGAAGTTTTTTGCAGTGAGATATGAATTACCTTTGTAATCAGACTAAATGCTATTTTGTGATACAGAAAAGGGAAACAGAAATGTGAGAGGAAAACTATGTACAGAGATGTTCATTACAGCATTGTTAATAATCGTAAGAAATCATAAACAACCTATCTAATAATCAAGAAATTGATAGTAAATTATGGTGCATCTACCTAGTGAAATATTTTACAGGTTATTACTTTTAAAAAGATGGTCTAAATGAGTTTATACTCATATTAAACTTTAATTATGCTATACCCTCAGCTTGAAGACCGTGTTCCTTCCTTCCCTTTCCTTTTCATTGGTATTTTCCTTAACCCTCACATCCTGCAAGAAGCCCTGACAACCACCACCATCACCTCCCCACCCCACTCTACTCTCACCTCCATCCCAACTGTGTGAGTTACCCTTGTTCTGTGTTTTCAGAATTTTCTAACAGATACTCTGTATGGCACTTACCACCCAGTGTTATGTTTGTCTATCTTCCCCACTAAACTTTAACCATCTCAATAGCTAGGATTGGGTCTTATTCACTTTTACCACTTCAATGCAAAGCCCAGGGCATAATAAATATTAGGTGCTTCATAAATGTTTACTGGATACGGTAAAAAAACTACTGTGGAAAATACTTGTGTTACTGTGTTAAGTACATTAGGGAAAGTAGCACTTAAACTTCAGGGTTGTTATGAGGATTAGATGGGTAAATGCACATAAAACAGCTAGTAGAACGTCAAGCATAGGTGTTCAGTAAATAGGATGAAGATGGCAGGATCGTGTTAGTAATGATAATGAGAGCTGCATATTTTTTGTTTTCACAGATAGCCCCAATACGGGCCTTGGACCTTGTGGATGGATTTTGGTGGCTGTCTCATTCTTGTTCACAGTTATAACTTTCCCATTGTCAATATGGATGTGCATAAAGGTAAAGAACATTTCATTCTCATCTGGAAAGGGGCCACGTCTACCCACATGAACCTACTTTGTGTGAGCGTGTGTGAAAGAGACAGAGAGAGACCATACTGGCCTATAGTTCTTTTTCCTTCATCTTTCTTTTGGAAAATTCACTCTAGTCACCTATTATAATGGAATCTTAAGACTTCTTTTCAGCCATTGTCCAGTCAGTCCTTCCGTAGGGTTAAAGTAAGGATCACCATCTAAAAGTTTCTGGGGTCAGGGACGTGGGATGATCCTGTAAGAACAAGTTCTCCAGAGTCAAGATGCTGAGGTTTGACTGCTGGCTCCATTGTTTAGTGTGTGACCTTTGCCATGTTTCCTCATCTGTAAAATGGGAGGAAATGACAACACCTACTTCAGAGGACCATTGTGAAGATTAAAAGAATTACTGTATTTAAACGTACTTATTGCCATGCCTGGCACATGGTAAGTCCCCCCAAACGCTGGTTATTTTTTCTATGAAGTTATTAATACTTTGATAAAGGACTATCATTTACATATTCCTAAAAAGATAAAATATGCTCCAAGAATTTTCAGTTAAGTTTATTATTATAATTTAAGGAATCAGGAGACAAACTGTGAGGACGTTAGCTTTTATTTTTTCTTTATTTACAGTGCCCGAGAAATTGAATAATAATGTTAACAGCTGAGGAGTGAGGTTATGGATTTGCTTCTGTGTGCTATTCTGTACTTTCCAAATTTTCTACAATGAATATCTATTGCTTTTATAATCAGTAAAAGAAAAAGTAAATAAATATCATATTTGGCAGGGGTAATTAAACAGCGGACATGTTATTTATATATATTATCTGGATTATATGAAAGAAAACAAAATAGAGGCAACTAATGTGTTTAGAGCAGAAAATATATTTAAAGAGGTATGCATGTAAATATTTGTACTACTCATGTTAAATTATTGTTTGTGTTTTTAATATAGATCATAAAAGAATATGAAAGAGCCATCATCTTTAGATTGGGTCGCATTTTACAAGGAGGAGCCAAAGGACCTGGTCAGTACTAGGATTTGGATTGTATGCGTGGAGACTGAAAGCTTTCTTCCTATTGATGTGATTTCCCTTGTGAGGGTCTCTGCTCTGTTGACTTGGAAGAGTGAGTCCATGCAGCAGCAGTTGTATAACTATAGCAGTGGTGCTGGCTGGTCTCGCTGCAGTCACCCTTTCCTTCCTTCCCTGCTCTCCCCTCCCCTTCCCATTGGAGCTGATAAGAGTATCTTAGTCCAGGAATAGCTACAGCTATGGAAGTTTGAGCTTGAGAATTCGTACTAAAACAAAGGCTTTCAGTCATTATTTTTGGCAAACTTGGATTAAGCTTCTACGGTGTTCCAGACTCTGGGACTTCAGTGGAGTCTAAAACACAGTCTGTGCCCTCAAGGATCTTACTTTCTGGTGTTGGGACATCAACAAGGAAAGAGATAGTTACAATCCCTTATGATAAGTGTTATGACCAAGTAATCACAGATAGCTATGGAAACCCAGAGAAGAGTAACTGACCTGAAATACTAGGATGAGGACAAGGCTTTCTGGAGGTGACTGTTGGCTGAGTCTTGAAGCATGAAAAGGTGTTAGCCAGACGGGAGGTGTTCCTGCAGAAACAGCGGCGTGTATAAAGCAGTGTGGAGGGGAGCATCCCGGGCCGAGGAACGGCAGGGAGCTCAGCCCAGCGAGAGTACAGGGCGAGGAGAGGGCAGCGGATGAAGAGGGAAGCTGGGGCAGGTCGTGCAGGGCCTTGTATGGCTCAGCTTGTTCAGTGGTTGTGTTTCAGGAAAGATGGTTCTACTTGCAGCTTAGAAAATGGATTGTAGGGGAGAAACTAGAAGAAATAGAAAGGTGACTTGGGAAGCAATTGCATAGGTCTCAGTAAAAACAAGAGTGACATTAACAGTGAAGTAAGGAAATGAAATCCACAGCCTTGGTGGGGACAGTTGGATGTGGGCAAGAGGAGTCAAGGATAACATTCCTGGCTTCTGGCTCATTCACTGAGATGAACTGATGACTTTCCATTGATCAGGTTGATTCTATTAGAATTGAGTGGTGAGGTAAACTGATGAGGTGCTGGTGTCTCTTTGTAATCTTCTACCTGTCTTTGTCACAGGCTTGTTTTTTATCCTGCCATGCACTGACAGCTTCATCAAAGTGGACATGAGAACTATCTCCTTTGATATTCCTCCTCAGGAGGTAAGGTTGTCTTTTGCTGTGAATAACTGAGATATCGGGTGTGAAAGTGCTTGACAAAGCAAGGCTGTTTAGCACAGCGGTTAGAGCACAGGGTTAGAGCCTGTCTGCCTTCACCATCTTCTAGCTCTGTGACCTTGAGCAAGTTCTTTAGTTTCTCTGTGCTTCGGGTTCCTCATCTATAAAATGGAGGTTATAATAGTAGGCCCTACTTTATAAGGTTCTTGTGAGGACTAGAGGAGATACTGTATGTGAAGTGCTTACAATAGTGGCTGATAAGTAGTAAGTGCTATATAAGTGCTTGTTATTATTATTATTACAAAACGTAGTGTAATGTTAATGTAAGTATAATAGCGTTATCGTTGTTGCCATCATTTTTACTCCCAAATGTCTCTTCTATGGGTTTCTGATAGAAAATCCTGTTTAGTACAATATTCTTTCTTCTTAAGGTTCTTGATTTTAGTCTAGATAAATTGGTTAGAAGCCAAAGAATTAGAAGCTGCTCATTTGCCATTTTAGATAAAGCATATGTGTTTTATATTAGTAATTATTTCATGCTTTTTCAAACTACTTCACAAATATTATCACAGTGGAAACTCACAGCAGAATCCCTAGCAGTCTTTGTTACGGTGAGACAAAGGAATTCCTCCAGACTACAGTGACAGAGCCAGGACTAAAATGCAGCTCTTTGGATTCTGTTTCTTCCAGTTTCATGCCAACTGCATTCTGCACTAGCTCCATTGTGGTTCTTGAAATGATGGCCATTCTGGTACTCACGTCTAAGGAGGCAGAATAACCATTGCAGGCAGAAAGCCTAAAAACTTGATGAAGGGAGGGACAGAAGAATACTGTCAGTGTTTCCTGGCCAAAGGCCAGGTACTCAGCAGGGTGGTGGAGCCTGGCCATGTTGCCTTCTCTTGTCACAAAATCCAGAAACCAGCTTAGGAATTCCTTGCTGGTACTGATCCAAGTAGTTGGTGAGATCAGACTTTATAATCCACACATATGTGGTGACACCAGAAGTCATCCTTACCCACAAGAACAAGACTGAGAGCATCGTTGTATTCTCTGCATGTTTTCCCTTCTTTCAAGAAGATTGACTCTCAGAAGGAGCCCCTTTCCGGGTAGCTGGGAATTCTTCTGACATTTTTCTCTATCAACATTGAAGGCATCTGGCAGGGTTGCTGTCAGCTTCTGCCTTCCAGCTGCTCCCTTCTCTCCTACGAGCTGCTGAATGCAGAGCAGTTTGGAACTTGGCAAGCAGCCCTTTTTCTGATCCCCGGTGAAGCTACTGTGAAGGGAGATAAACACTTTGTCTACAATAAACAGTAGGCAGAGAGGCTGCAGCTTGGGAAAGTTCTGGCTGTGCCACAGTCACAGTCACAAGAATTCGTTTAGAAATGATACACATTTTCTCATCACATCATGGGAAACAATTAATTTTCACACAAGATGGTAATATACTTTATTTACAAATCCCCTACTTCTCTTCCAAGTTAGAAGTATCTTTAGATTACTAAAAAAGGATTACTGCGTTGATGCCTGGCAGGACTAAACAGCGGTGTTATATCATTGTTGTTCTTACTTTCTATTTACATAGCTCTTTACCCTTTCAAAAGGGCTTCATTCACAAACCTCTTCTTAATTGATCTTCAAAGAAATTTGCATAGAATTGGGCAGTCTTATTAGCCCCTCTCTCAAATGAGGAATCTCTAAGTCAAACGGTTTGAAAGCCTTGCTAGAGATCACCGAGGGAGGTGCAGGCGGAGCTGGAACTACAGTTCCCGGTCTCCTGACTCACGGGGGCACTCTTCGTCAATCACTGTATTCTAGGACCACCTTTCATTTCAGTTCATCTCTCGTTTATTGACTACCTGCTATGTGTCGTGCGCTCTGCCAGTGCTAGACACACAGAGACAAACTGCCCTCAAGAAATTCCTAGTTAACAGAGAAGTAATGATGTAAATAAATAACGTCACTGCAGTAAGGTACAAAGAGAAGAGTGTTTAACTCTGCCGAGCGAGTCAGGGAAGTTTTACAGAGAAAAAGACACTTAGGTTGTGTCTTGAATGATGAGTGAGAATACGCCAAGGTGATGTTGTAAGGGAGAGAGAGGAGAGGACATCCAAGCAGAGGGGCAGCCTGCATAAAGGCCTGGGGCCATGGAACGTGGTGCATCATCTAGTATAGAGTGTGCGCAGGGAGTGGGGAGGAATGAGGCCAGAGGGCCAGATGTCAAAGGGCTTGTATACCCAACTAATGGTGGGAAGTATTGATTCACTATGTCCTGTTAAGTATTTTTGTGTAGCATGCTGTAAATATATTTTTACCCTGACCTCACCCTATAAAAACATTCTCCATTCACTGTTTCTTCCAGTGATACTGTGCTACTGATAGTTCATCGAACCTAGGGTTTCCCATACCTCTGTGCCTTTGCACGTGTTATTCTCTCTGCCTTAAATACTCTTTCACTCCACCCTCAGAAAATGTTTATTTCTTCCTTCAAAACTTAGTTCAGGTATCATCCCTGCCACGTGCAACTACCCATCCTCTGTCCCTTGAGGCCTCCTTTGATTCCCCAAACTCTTTGAAAGTAGGAACAAGTTTTTTCATAACTTTATCCCTGGTACCTGAGTGGAGTCTCAATATTTGTTGAATAATTGAATGAATTAGTAGAACTAATGAATAAATGAATATGTTTTATTAAAATTTTAAAGACATAATTAACTTTTTGATGCTTTAATGTCTTAGTTTTTTGGGGTTGTTATAACAAGATACCATAGACTGGGTGGCTTACAAACAACAGAAATTTATTTCTCATAGCTCTAGAGAAGTCCAAGATCAAGGCACCAGCAGATTCAGTGTCTGGTGAGGGCCTGCTTCCTTGTTCATATAGGGCTATCTTTTCACTGTGTCTTCACGTGGCAGAAGGGGCAAGGGAGCTCTCTGGGTTCTTTTTTATAAGGGCACTAGTCCCATTCATGAGGGTTCCACTTTCATGACCTAATCACCTCAGAGGCCCCACCTCCAAATACCAACACGTTGGGGATTAGGTTTCAACGTAGCAAATTTTGGAGGGACACCAGCATTCAGTCGCTAGCACTTACTAAAGAAAATCAGCTAGTGTTTTAAGATGTTCTATAGAATGACATTCCTTGCAGTTATGTTAAAGAAACAGTTGGTTAACAGATGTAAAATTGCTTTCTTTATCCCATAGATCCTGACTAAGGATTCAGTGACAGTTAGTGTGGATGGCGTGGTCTATTACCGTGTTCAGAACGCAACCCTGGCTGTGGCAAATATCACCAACGCTGACTCGGCCACCCGTCTGTTGGCACAAACTACTCTGAGGAATGTCCTGGGCACCAAGAACCTTTCTCAGATCCTCTCTGACAGAGAAGAAATTGCACACAACATGCAGGTGAGGAGTGCACTAATGCTGTCACTCACCAGAAACTGAAACATGAAGCAAAGGCTTAATGGTTGAGAACTTTTTCTTGATTCAAGTTGAGGAATCACTGGCCCTTTTTCTTCCTAGAAAGGTTTTCCCAAACTTGATGGAAGGGGATATTTTTCACACCAATAGCTCATGGGTTAGTAACACTCAGGTGCATGCATTTTTTTTACTCCCTCCAGTGTATATTTTTTTTCCAGAATTAGTAATAACTTTTTTTGTCACCTAATAGTTCAGAGGCCATTCAGCAAGATAGAGCAGGTATTGTTCAAGCTTTATTCTCTCTGTGAGTCCCGTGACTTCTCTTGTAACTCTTAATGCTTTCCAGTCCTGCTTGAGCAATAGATGATGGATTAAACCTGACTTGTTCAAAAAAGGTAAAGGACTGTAAATTGGAAGTCTTATTATTTGTAGAGACTTCATTGTGTGTAAAATCTATGATCTTATTTGATTCCCTCAACAATCATGAAATAGATAATATGATTTTATTCCTACCATGTTAAAGGGAGGAAGTTGAAGCACAAAGAAGTAATATGGCTCACACAAAGTCACGTTAGCTCAGGAGTCGGCTAGCCGCCTGTTTTTATAAGTAAAGTTTTATTGGAATACAGCCACACCCATCGGTTGATGTATTATGCGTGACTGCTTTTGAACTACAATGGCTGGATTAAATAGTTGCCACAGAGACTGAAACTAAACAGTTACTATCTGGCCCTTTTAGGAAACCCCACCATTAGGAACACAATCAAGATCAGCTCCCCAGTGACCCTAGTCTCTGCTTGAGCATTCCTTCCACCGCAGGGTAACTAATCTGGCTAAACTCTGCCCCAGTGCCTTATCTGCTCCAGTCCCAATGAAGACAACTACCTGAGGCCCCAGGGCTGGGCTGAACGTTTTTAGCTTGCCTTCTCTCTTCCTATCAGGCTACCCTGGATGACGCTACTGACGACTGGGGAATAAAAGTGGAGCGTGTGGAAATTAAGGATGTGAAACTCCCTGTGCAGCTCCAGAGAGCTATGGCTGCAGAAGCAGAAGCATCCCGGGAGGCCCGAGCCAAGGTAATCTTTTTGTATCTTCTTTTTTTGTAGTTTATTTTTCTTATTGAGTTTTCTTTTTGATTACAAAAAAATAAAACATGCTTGTTCTTAAAAAATTGAGATAAGCCTGAAGTATTTAGTAAAGATGAAAGCCCACCCCATCACTTCAAATCGTATCCCCCTGGAGGCCACCGCTCTTATTATCATTCAGGGTTTATTTGGGTTTTATTTGACTAGGTTGTTAGATTACTGTCTTGTTTGTTTTACAAAAGTAACTATACACATTATTTTGCACCTTGCTTTTTTCACTTAACATCTTGTGGGCAGGTCCCTATGTATAGAGTTAACTCATTCTTTTGTAACTATATGTCCCATACTTTATTCTCCCAATCCGCTATTAAGGATAGATTAACACTTCTGACTTCAGAGCAAATGGGCAGTTTTATCAGTTTGCTTACCATTCATTCTTTCCTTATTTTTGTCCTCACTTTTATTCTCTCTCTTTTCTCAGGATCTTCGTACTGTTTCCTCTTCCTCTCTCTCCTCTTTCCTTTTTTTCACTTATCTTTCTTTTTTTTCTTCTTCTTCTTTCCCCAAAGCCTCCCAGTACACAGTGGTATACTCTAGTTGTGAGTGCCTCTGGTTGCCCTATGTGGGACGCCGCCTCAGAATGGCCTGATGAGCGGTGCCATGTCCGCGCCCAGGATCCGAACTGGCGAAACCTTGAGCCGCTGAAGCAGAACGCATAACTTAACCACTCGGCCATGGGGCTGGCCCCTCACTTATCTTTCTTTGATGTCTGCTTTTTTTCCCCTTTCTTTTCATCATCCCTGCCTGTGTCTTAAGACTGCGTAGGCACTTGACCTCTATGGGAGATGCTAAGGAAATATTTGTTAACCAAACCTAGAAAAGATCTATTGAGATGATAACACAGAAGGATACAGGCATATCTCACCAAACCCAAGGGTAGGAAATAGAGTCAAGCCTCACCAGAGTTGGAGCCAGGGACCAGAAAACAGTCAAGACTCAAAGGAGCTAGTCATTCCATTTCCTGGGCCACATCTCACTGCAGATACCTTGAGGGGGAGAATGTCTGACTCCAGTTGAACACTAAAGGAGACAGACGAGCCCTGATTCCAAATTCACAGCAGAGAGAGTCTCTTTGGTCCAACTTTGGTCAAAGAGCAAAGTCAGATACTAAAAATGTCCCACAGCCCCTTGCCTGTGAGTGGGTGGAGGAGAGGGATAGTTTTCGTAGGAGGGATTGCTGTGGTCTTGACAGATCTTCCAAGACACAAGGAGCCTTTTTGTTGTCAGGAAATAGTAGTTAGCTGGTAATAATTGGGTAACCACAGAACCCTGCCCTTCTATTAGGATGCTCTTTAAGCCACAAATTGGTCAGTATATTCTTAGCCAGCACCAAATAGAATAGTAGCTCTTTTGACATGCTGCATCCAGAATTTTCTATTAGTCAGAATTATTCAGTTTTCCTAATGTGATAATTGATGCTTATGATGATAACCTGGTGATACTGCAGAACCCTCAAGTGCTTTCTCTCAAAATCATCACATTTAGAAGGCTAAATTATATTTATGATAATGATATTAAATATGCCCTACTGTACTCTAATTATTTTGCAAATTGAGAATTGCTTTTACCTAGAATATGTCATTAACCAAAAGCCCCATTTCCAAACCACATCGAGTAATAGAATTTATCATACATAGACTATACAGAATATCAGAGCCCAAACGGTCCTTAGAGGTTATCTTCTGAAGGTGACAAATACCTGGCCCAGATGCTGCCACTCCACCCTCCTATTCCCATGCCAGTGATTACCACAGCACTGTTTTCCACTGAGCTTAGATTTGACCTCAGAACCTTCCTAGAGCACTCCAGGTCACCCTCAACTGCTTAGAATTGGCCCTAAAAATGAAACTTATTTGCCGTCCCACTATTCAGGTGAAAAAATTGAAGCCCAGAAAAGTGAAGTAATTGATTCCTCCCTGCTCCCTTGAGGACTTTCCAGAATGGACTGAGCCTGTTCTACAAGTGTTTCCCAAGTTAGGAAAGAGTTCCTATCTTCCCTCAATAACAATAAGGAGAGATAAAGGAAGCTGGTTAGGATTCTGAATTACTGTGCTCCCACATGGACGGGGCTGTAGGCTTTGTCTGGAAGCAGTCTCGGGCAGTGACTGACTGTCTTTAAGATTAGGATTGACACACAGAATCACAAGGAGTCTAGCCCTTATGTAAAATACATGACCCTGACCATAAGGCCGTATGTTCAAATTCTCATGGCAAAAAGGGGTCACAATTTCTTCAACAAATAAACTGCAAAGGGAAAGGGTAGGAGAGTGTGTAGATTAAGAGACTTCAGAGAATAGTTCCTCAAGTTAATTAGCCATCAGGGAAATGCAAATTCAGATCACAAGCAGATGCCACACTAGACATCCACCAAAATGGCTTTGAAAAAAAGAAAAGAAAAGAACCAAGTGTGGGTGAGGGAGGAACTGGAACTCATCTTTTGTTGGTGAGAGTATAAATTGGTACAACCACTATGGAAAACTGTCTGGCTCTGCGTATCTAACAGAAAGGCTCTCATTTATTTACCCAACAGCATGTACTAGAATGTTCACAGCAGCACTTTGTAATTGCCCCCAACTGGAGACTACCCAAATGCCCATCTCTAGTTGAATGGATAAATAAAGTATGGTGTATTCATATGAAGAAACTCTGTACCACAAAGAGAATGAACAAATAATTGCTTGCAAACACGATTTGAAAGAAAGGAGCCAGTCACTAAAGAGGACCGGTTCTCTCACAAGTTCACATTATGTTAGCTGAACCTCTTTTTAAAGTTTTTAGACAAACTCCTAATGACTTGAAATGTAATATGTTTTGCACTTGCATTCTCTCTTATTTCCTTTTACATAACTCTCAGAAAAATGCCCGGCATGTGCTTTCAGGCTCGTGTTTCTGGACCTGGTCATCTATCAATGAGTGCAAAATTGTAGGGTTTTGCATTCATTTCTCTGCCCTTCTCTCAGACCAGCCCACCTGGGCTACAGAAGGAGACAGTAGTACCAATCTCACATACGTGAAAATGCCAGATTTAAAATGATGGTTTGTAAAGATAAAGTGTTGATTGACATGTAATCACTGCACATTTGGCAAAAGCCCCAAACATCCACACATATCTTGCTTTGCTTTCTAAGATCCTATCCACAGTGCGTACTTGGCCTGTATTTAGACAAAGCCAGCGGTATTGCACTTAAGTCTTTGGCAGCTCACTCAGAGTGGCTTTTCTATTAATAAAATGTGTGCCCAGCCCGGTGGGTCTGGCTTCCCAGCCAAGAGATGGTGTATAGATCGGTAGTGGAAGATGAGATATCTTTGCCATTGGTCCATGTCCAGACAAAAACAAAAGTACCTAACTGGACATCTGAGGTGACATGGAGAAAAATCAGAGCCTGCCATTCCCGTGGCAGGGGCTTGTTTATGCATTCTCTACAGTGCTTGCCCTGGAGTACAGTGACATGATTCTCTTTGAGTATATCTGGCACTTGCCCCTTCTCACAGACCTCGGAAGGACATAATGGTTTGCCGTGACAAGTTAAAGTTTTTAGCCTCTAAACTAAGCCCTTCTCTCAGTGAATACCATATCCTATATCCCTTGTTTCACCTAATGACAGTACTCAGGCAACCAAAACTTAGAAAGCTGGGACTCAGCCTCTGTTCCGCTTTCCTCCACATACCCAGTCAGCTTCCAAACTGTGGATTCTCCCTCCTGAAGAGCTCCCCAGTCCATTTCCTCCTCCATCCCCACTACCAATGAATTGCACCGGTCGCTCTTGAAGCTGTCCCACTCATAGCTCTCAGTCTCTTCTCATCCATCCTCAGACATCTGTCAGGGTGTTTTCTTAAACTAGATCTGATGAGGTTATCTGTTTAAAACCATTCAGTGGCTTCCCATCGCATACAGAATGAAGATCAAATACCCTGGCCTTCACCGCCCTTCAGACCCTGGCCCCGTTCAACTCCCACTTTTCCCCTTTCCTCACACGGTATTCAGGCACTTAGAGTTTTCTGGAATACACCAGCTTTTTCATACCTTAGTACCTGTTCATGTGTTCTGCCTGAAGTGTTCTTCCTCATCTTAGTCCAAACGACAGAGGGAGTCCGCTCCATCCCTAGCTCCTACACAGGGCTTGACACCCAGAAGTCCCCTGAAGTTTACTGTATAAGTGAATGAAATTTCACTGATCATAATTGCTTCCAATTCCAATATGCACAGGACTGTTATGAACCATTAATATTTTGAGATCCATGTGAGAACAACCTAGTGAAACTGCACTTTAAATCTTGATGATTATGATATCTTTACACCTCTTCTCCTAGGATTATGAATTAAAAGTAACTGTCTTGATTTGGCTTCTGAATCTTTTATGAATTAAGGCATAGGTGGATCGAGAAATCAGGCCTTGACTTGTCACTTGCCATTCCTATTCAAGAGCCTCCATTTATGCATTTGACAATATACCTTCTCTGCCTTCCTCACAGTGGTCCTGTGAGGTAGGGGCTGTTGCATTTTAACATAAGAAACTGAGGCTCAGAATGTTAAACTACCTTTCTGAGGATATTCAGCTAGTAAGGGTTAGGTTTGGGATTTGAGCTCAAGTCCGTCTAACTCCAAAGCCCCTGCTCTCCCCACCACTCCAATGATCTTCAAAGGTTTTTGCCCATGCAACCCCCAAAAGCATTCAGAAAAACTGTATGTTCCATCACACATTTTATCAGCATGTAAAAATTTTCATTTTGAACTTATATACTTGACAAGCATATAATTCCTGGCACGTTTTAAATGTTCACTTTTTTTTTTTTTTGAAGATTTTATTTTTCCTTTTTCTCCCCAAAGCCCCCCGGTACATAGTTGTGTATTCTTAGTGGTGAGTCCTTCTAGTTGTGGCATGTGGGATGCCACCTCAGCATGGTTTGATAAGTGGTGCCATGTCCACGCCCAGGATTTGAACCGGCGAAACCCTGGGCCGCTGAAGCAGAACGCGCCGACTTAACCACTTGGCCACTGGGCCGGCCCCTAAATGTTGACATTTTAAAATAAAACTGTTAACATCATTGTTTTAACTGTATCCTGTGAAATTTAAATAACGTAATGATTTCATCATCTCTTTAAAATTATGTGAATAAGCTCTTAACAGTCAGGAATTTTTTATTGTTCCTTTTTGTCTTTGAACTTGTATATCTATTCCACTGCCCCAACAGATCCTTTTCCTAATATATAATGTAATATATTTTGTCATGAATTATTTTATTATTCTACTGCAACACATTTAGTATGTAAGTTAAATTAGATTTTTGAAAATGTCCTGTGACTACAAACACGGCTCTAAATGTTTCAGAATTTCTCCTAAATAAGAAACAAAGTTTTAGTAGAATTGCTTCTCTTAGTGAGCTGAATGAGGAATAAATTCATGTATTTGTAGATGGCTATTACTTATTGCTAGAGTGAGACAAGATTCAGCATTGATTCTATTCTTATTTTTCATTTTTACAGAAATAAGGAGTAAGAAGCCTTATTTACATAAATAAGTTGATGGAAAGGGAAGTTTTGTTTAAAGTAATGTCATACAGTCCTTAGCACTCCCTCTGAATTTATGTGCTAAAAAATCATATGGCAGTCTTTCATCAAAAAATATTTTTAATCATCTATTGGTCTTCAGTTCAATAAGGTCCTCTTTCCTTTCTTTGAAATCAAAGAATTGGAAATCTGTCTGACTTACAAAAGGATTTGTATCCAGTCATTAGAGTCATTCACTTTCTCAACCCGTACACAGTATTTTGAATTGTCCCTTTGTTTGGTACCCTGGAAAATGGGAGGGGGCTATAGTAGAAGTTGTCTTGACCTCAGGAACATACTCAGGCAAATCAGTTATAGGAAAAAGAACATATAGAAACTGAGTGTCTGGAAATTGATTTCCTTCAAACACTTCTGGCGTACTCCCTGGAAAGTTGTGTATACCACCCGAGGTATACATACCCCAGTTTGAAGATTGTTGCTTGGCACCTGCGATTTTCTGCAGTTTGACCTCCTTTCCACTGTTCCGTAGGTCATCGCAGCTGAGGGAGAGATGAATGCATCCAGGGCTCTGAAAGAAGCCTCCATGGTCATCACCGAATCTCCTGCCGCCCTTCAGCTCCGGTACCTTCAGACGCTGACCACCATCGCTGCTGAGAAAAATTCGACGATTGTCTTCCCTCTGCCCATAGATATGTTGCAAGGCATTATAGGGGCAAAACATTGAGCCGCAGAGGCTAATGCAGAGACGAGCTCTTCCCTTCCAAGGGTGAAGTGGGGGACCAAAGCAGCCTTTAACCCGTAAGGAGAGAATAGGGTGGGAACTTGACTATTCTCCCTCCTTTTCCTTTTCCACATGTTGAGAGTGATGTTCTTAGAACGTACAGTGATCACAGCAACAGCTGAAGATTGTTAGCTTGTAAATACTGTGCAAGAGAGATTTGTAATTTATATCAGATAATCTCCTACTCTTTAAAATATTTAAAAGTTCATATTTTGAGATCATTATGTAATAGGTTAAATCCTTCTTCTTTTGACTTTCATTGAGTCGTTCTACACCCTCTATCAGCAGCCAGACTAAAGGCAAGAAAATAGGCTATAACCACCACCTGACACCCTGGCTGGACAAATACTTTGCAGAAAACAGTGACTTAGGCTACAACCAGCTTCTCTGGGCCATATGTGCCTTACTTCTGGGGAATCTTAATTAAGGAAATTTTCCTAACATCCATTTACTTTCTAAACCCAAACCATGTTTCAAAATAATCCTCCCTTGAGGGTCGGCATTTTCTTGCCAGTACCTGTCAGCACTGGAGGAAATGACAAGATCAATGAAAATGATCACCCTAACCCTTGAAAGACTTTTAATTCTACTATTATAGAGGTCCTTTTAAAATAATGTGGGTTTTTTAAACTTATTTGAGCCTCTTTATCAGAAAATGATTCCTCTGTGGTCTTTCAAACCAACTAAATACTTGTCACAAAAGTGCTTTTTTTTTCTCACTTTTACATATTTTCATATATCAAGTTCTAAATAGTTTTGATTTTTTTAAATAAAATTTTCTCTAAGTTCTATAAACAATTGTTTGTACATTCCCATTTGAATAGCATAAGGACTAATACTTTTTTAAAAATTGTCTTCAGAAAACTATAATATTTTACTGTTTGCATGCTTTTAACTATTGTACGCTGTGAAATACCTTGATTACTAATCCCATTCATTAAAGTAGTATAAGGAATTCACAATATATTGGGCACATAATATCCAATGAGCTTGAGAAGATGCTGTCAAACTTAGCATATCTATATAGATATATTTGCCTAGTCTTTCTTTTTCTATCATATACATTAGTGCTGAAAGAGGAAGCAGTCAGCCCTTCTGAACCAGTTGCTTAATGTGTAATATTAGGAAGCATCTTCCGTATTGCAAATGCCTATGAGTCTGGGCCCCCCGGCATTCTCCCTGTTGGTCTGGAAAGCTGCTGGTGACATTTGTACCACTTCCTCTAGAGAAGTCTAAGAATAGTGGCTTCCTTACCTAGAGTCACCCTTCATATCTGTCCTCAGCTGGATCACTGTCATCCCAGCCTAAGTATCCCCACCTTTAAACCCCATTTCCAAGGTTATTTCAGAAAGACTTGACCCACCATGCATCCAGGTTCCTAGCTGAGTTTATTAGATGTGTATGGAGCATTTTGACTTGGAACTCAAGTTGCGTTTATATTTTGAATTTTAAAATAATGATTTTATCTCTTTTGTGAGGTGGCTTACCCTTGACCACTGAGGACTAGGAAACGACCATCTATCCTAACTGAAAATCTCTTCTCAGACTCAGAGTCACAATGCTTTCTCTCCCTTGAGTTTCCCTGTCTCCAGATACCAACCAGTCTTCGCTTTTCTGCCTTGTGGATTCATAGCCCAATAGTTGGAATTAAGTCGCTTGGGAGGGAGGAAGCATCGAAGGAGCTCTAGGATGAGAGTGTTAGTGCAAGAGTTTTTTCCAGGTGGCCTCCCTTTCTGGTGCTGTACATAATAAAGTGTGCCCTTTTACTAATTTTTTTTGTGTGAGAGTCTGTTTCTGCCTGCGTTTGGTATGTGGACTTGGTTTTTCAGAAGTGGTGCATCTGGTCCTCCAGTCCTGGGCTGGCTGCCTTGGCTTCTTGTGTGCTCTTCATGGGCCAGGGGACGGAGAGGCTGCAGTAGCCCGTCTGCCATCTCTCCTGTCTAGGCTCCTCTGGTGCCCCTACCCACCCGTCTTCCCTAGGGAGCTTGAGATCCATGTACCGCCTGATCCTTGGCTAGTTTCACTTCCCTTTGCGTCACTCCAAACAGAACAGGAACCCACTTCTTGCTGTCACCCAGCTAATCACACAGGCATACCCCCTACTTAAAAAGAGAAATAAATGAAATAAAACCAATGGTTTTACCTGTAGCATTCAACCTTTGAAGAACCTTCAACCTTCTTGAATCAATAGCTGCAGTTAATTGTGGAGCACCAGGCACCTGGCTCTGTGCTCAAATACTTATAATGCATTCCATCATTTTATCCTCAAACAGCTTGATGAGATGCTTTATTATCCCCCATTTTATAGATGAAGACACTGAGGCTCAACGGTTTAAACTTAGCCAAAGTCACTTGCTTGGTAAGGAGCAGAGTTGGGATTCAAACCCTGATCTAACACCAAGACTCTTAAGGCGTCTAAATATATCTTCATGTGACACTGCCTGCCACCACTGCCGCCATCCACGACCAGCAGTCACGTGTTCATGACAACTTTTCAAGACTGTCAAAGTTCATTTGATGAGTGAAACTCTGCATTCATACCCAAGTAGATCTTAAACTTTAGTTTTGGGTCATCTGATCTAGGCCGAAGTTTTAGATCTGGTATTTGTAACCACAATATGTTATAACACCCTGGCCTGAGTGGGAGGAAACCCGGGTTCCAAGGATCGTTGAGCTTACATGGCTCCTTAAACTACATTCTCTCTGACCCTCGCAACACCGGGGCTTCCCAAGATCACTCGGCTAGTAAATGGTGAACCAGGTGATCTCAAAACTTCTTTTTAGCAGCAAATCCCCTTTTTTTCAAAGAAAACTTTGCACCAGTAAAAGATTTACAGTGTCTTTTAGCAGGATAAATTAAGTTCACATTTATGACAATATCAATCAATGAGCCTGTTTTGAAAAACAAAATATTAATCAGACTTCTAAAAGACAATTACAGTCTTAAATCAGGCTCTACCTTCAATTAATTTCTCCATTTTGTTTGAAGTTGCTGTGATATTTATTACCACTTTAAAAATGGAATTTGAATCAAAGTATTTGTAAAATCACTGAAGACCTTGTAGAGTTGTACAGATCCCAGTTTTAAAATCACTGCTCTTGCGTGCCTTTCCCACTACACCACTGAAGTTGTAACGTGACCTTAGATATGTCATACCCCTCCCTGAGCCTCATTTTCCTCACGTGTAAAATAAGTTGGGGTACACCTGTGTGGGTCTCAGACCTTTTGAAAATGTGTTGGAAGCTATATAGCACATATTTGCATACAACTTTAGGGGATACGCTGACCCCCACTCCGTGCCTGTCCAAAGATTTAAGAATCATTGGACTAGGGTAATCTCTAAGATTTTTTCTAACTTCAGTGGCTCCGGGGCTCAGATCAGGCTGGGATTTGCCTAAAGGAGAAACACTTGCTAATAGGATACAGCACTTTTCAATCCACTCCATAGCCGAGTTTGTTGTGAAAGGAAATTGAAACCACTGACAAAACTGAGTTTTAGAAAGCTCTAGAAACTTAGTAATTGTGATGGAGGCTGAGACTCTTCCCTTGAAGATTCTGAAGAAAATAGGCTGGAAATTAAGCCCTCTGAGAATTTCTAGATGCCACAAGACTGTAAGGAACCATTACTGTTAATTATTGTTTTCAGCACGGACCCCAACAAAGTCTCCAACAAAATGGCTGTCTACCCAGCATCCATTTACCCTCTTCCTCCTTCCTAGGAACCACGACTTTGGGTACCTCTCCCTAGAGCTCTCACCTAGGGAAGAGGAATTCAACCACCGCTCCTGGGATGAACCTAACTGGCCTACAGATAATTCCATCCCCCGAGCCCATGATTCGGTCAGGAATGGTCATGTGACCCCAGATGGGCCCTTGAGACCTGAGGAGAGGTTTCCTGTGGACTGGGGGACAGTTTCCCCCTTCTCCTCCCCTTTCTGGGAAAACTTCTGGAAATAATCCCTTCTCTTTTCCTCTGGGCATTGCCATGCATAGGTGTAAGAGCCAGAACACCTACAGATATTTCACTAGTAGAACAGGAATGCCAGAGCCAAGAGAATTAACAGGAAGCCCAGACAGACTCATTGGGTTTAGTCACCCACAAGGCCCTCTAAAGTCAGCACTATCACTTATGAGAGTGCGTAAGCGTGCTTATGGTTTAATTTGGTTTGAGTTGGTTTTCCATTGCTTACAGCCCACGAACATCTTATCTGATCCACAGGACAGTGGGTCTTCACCTCCATGGATATCTACTAGGTCCTGCTGTGGGCCCTTAGTTTTACAAAAGAAAGGAAAAAAATGATTTTTTTTAACCACTTTTGAGCACTTATTATGGGCCAGACGTTGTGCTAAGTATAACCTCCCTTGATCCTGGTTAAAATCTTAGTGGGTAGGTACTGTTCTTACTCTCATTTTGGAGCTAAGGAAGCTACAAAGTTTCAGTAAGATCGACGACACTGTTGATAAGAGCTGGAGCTAGAATTTGAATCCAGGTCTGGATTCAAAGCCCAGATTTTAACCACTATATTGTACCACCTATATTATTACCATTTGGGGGAAATTGAGGCTCCTAGAAAATTGTGTTGTATCTCTAGTGCCTTGCACACCACCTGACACAAAGCACACAATAAATATCTGTTGAACTAAATTGCCCACGATAGGACACAGGATCCAAGCACAGGCCACTCTCTTTCCAAAAGACACCCCTTTGGCACCTGTCATGGCATTGCACAGTGATTTCTCCATCGTAGATGATGAAAGCCAAGGTGTCTCAAAACTTGTTAGGAAGAGAAAATACATGTTTGAAGTGATAGTGTTCCTGATTTGCCATTTTGCCTTTGAGAGAAAAATATGAAGTCTAAGCAACTCAGTTGTCTCAGGCAACTTCTTTTCTCAGAGCATTGCAGACCTCTCTCTGAGGCCACAGCCACCAACAAACCAAGACTGGTCAAGAAACCACCTTGAATGCCAATAAACTGAAACAAAGAAAGCATGGGCAAGTCTACCCATGATTTGGCTCCCACAGGTTTCCAGGATGTGAGCTGGCCTTGTCCAGACAGGCCTCCACCTGCCTTTAACGAAGGGCCTAGGAGCTCCAGGTGGTAGCTGTTCCAGGACTTCGATTTGTCAAGTGGATTGCTTTGGCCATGAAAGCAAGCCTTTCGGGTAGGCAAGGCAGGCTTTACAAGATCAAGTCCAAACTCGAAGGCATGGCATTGCAGGCCCTTTATGAACTGGGGCCCTCCCCACCTCTCAGATTCAAGGCCTAGCACTCCTCACCTTCTGCTCCAGCCACACGGGGCTGTTGTCTGCCCCTGAGCACGACATCCCCCCTCACAGCTCATCTTTTACTCGCTGCACACTCTGCCTGAGATGTCTTGACTCCCCCCCTCCATGTTTTACCTGGAAAATTCCTTCTCCACTCCCCTCATCACTTCTGCGATGAATCAGAACCTCTGGAGGTGGGGCCCCTGGGGAATCTATGCTTTTAAAAAGCTCCCTGGGCAATTGGGGTGATCAGCCAGCTTTGGAAACTACGGTGTAAACACACACACACCCTTTCCGCCACACAAACCCTCACACTGGTTTTTGTTCTACGGTCCTACACACGGGAGTTTTCACTCCATAACTCGGCTGGGGATGGGGTGAAGGGAGATGGCACAGAACAAAAGGGGACAAACATGGTGAGACAAGACCAGGATAGAGGAGGGGGAATGGGGTCTGTCCACCAGCAGCTCCTTAGGCTGGTTTGGGGCCTCCACGGAGAAAAGGTTTAGAGGCGAAGTTCATGGAAATGTCTAAGAGAAACTTTGTGACACCCTGAGCATGTGCAGAGTCAGGGCCCAGGGGACCAAGTAGGGCACAAAGGAAGTCTCTCTCCTACACCTTAAAGACTGCAAACCTTGTGAGTATCCAGGGGCAACTCTTGTGGGGGGAGCTGCAGCAGCAGAGATTTCTCCAAACAGCTTAGGGGCAGCAGAATGAGTCATGGAAACCAGAGGAGGCACGAAAGGTCTAGGTAGATGTTACAGGGTGTGGTGGCTATAGAGAACGCACCTTGTCACCTTTCTACTACAGGGAATGTAAGTGACAAAGGGCCCCGGCTGCTGGTTTTGAACTCCACCCCCACAAGTGCTCCAAGGCCACGTCTCCTGATGACTGAGTATAGTGGGGAGCTAAGACACTGCACCCGCTCCTGGGAGACGGGCAACTCCTTTGTTGGCTGATTTTACTCCGGCTCAAGAACACTTTGAATCGAACAGATATTGGTACCCCAGTGTTCACAGCAGCATTATTCACAATAGCTAAGTGGAAATGACCTGAGCGTCCATCAAGGGATGAACGGATAAACAAAAAGTGGTAGATACATACAATGGAATACTATTCAGCCACCAAAAGGAATGAAATTTTTACATATGCCAGAAAATGTGTGAATCTTGAAAACACTATGCTAAGTGAAATAAGCCAGACACAGAGGACAAATACTGTATGACTCCACTTATACGAGGTACCTAGAACAGGCAAATTCATAGAGATAGAAGGCAGAATAAAGATTACCAGGAATAGAGGGGAGGGGGGAATAAGGAGTTATTGTTTAATGGGCATAGAGTTTATGTTGGAGATTATGAAAAAAGTTCGGGTATAGATAGTGGGGATGGCTACACAACACTGCACAGTAAATGCATTTAACGCCGCTGAATTGTATGCTTAGAAATGGTCAAAATGATAACGATTATGTTATGTATAGTTTACCACAACAAAAAATAATAACAA